AAATCTTCTTCTCAAGAACAGCAAGGGCATTCTTGTCCCCCATTTTGGGGAAAGGGAGGGGACACTAAATCTCATTTGTCTGTCAGTCTGTCCATCTTATTGACAGCTAGTATGTGCATCTGTCACAATAAATTTAACCTTGGTCATAACTTTTGAATGATAAGAGATAGTGCTTTCATATTTCACATGCACATTACACAAAACTTTCTAAATATACTATGATTTTTTAACCCAAGTGAGACCTTGACCTTAAAGTTTTACCTACTTTCCAAAAAATAACATTTTAAATTGATCATTTTGAAAGAGAAAAGAAAGGGCATTCAGATTATACATGTTTATTACATGTGAAAAGACTTTTCTAAATATATCATGACTTTTGACTCTGTGACCTTGACCTAGAAGTTTAACCTACTTTTCAAAAATATTATATTATATATATAACTTTTGATTCAAAAGAGATAGGACTTTCATATTTGACATGTACATTACCTGCAACAAAATGTTTCAGAGCATGCTATGATTTTTCCCCTTTGACCCAATTTTCAAAAATTGATATATGATAGGGGTGCATATTTGACACACAATCTGCCATAAATTATGGTATCTCATTCAGTAAAACACAGAAAGCAGAGGACCACAATTCTTTGAATTTGCTTGTATAATCTTGATAGATGGAACATGCTCATATAATGTAGATTCAAGTTTTTTATGCCACACCATGATTAGGAATACATATATAGTTTTTGTCATGTCCGTCCTCCACCCTTCCATCTGTCTTTCCATCGGGCTCAAAGAAACTTTCTAGATATTTTTATCAAAGTTCATATGTTGATGCATACTGATGTAAATATCCAACTGCAGCAATATTTTTTGACTTTGACTTTTCCTTTGACCTTCACTTAACTTTTCTTTAAATTAGTGTTTAGCTTTATTTTAAAGAAACCATTCAAGTTGTGTAATGAAACTTCACATGATGATACATACTGATGTAAGCTTTACGATGCTTCACTCTTTTTTACCTTGACTTTTCCTGTGACCTTGATATCACTTTTCTAAAATTAATGTCTAGACCAGTTTTGAATAAACAATTCAAGATATATTTATCAAACCTCATATGCTGATACATACTGCTAAGAGCTATTAATACGTCAACTTATTTTGACCTTGAATTTTCCTTTGACCTTGACCTCACTTTTTAAAATATCATTTTTCGACACCATTAGTTCCCCCGGGGCAAATTCAACATTTCAAAACCTTACTGTACATCTACATGACACCACCAACCATCTCCCAAAAGATGATTAGGCTACTGTGTAAAATGTAAGAGGAGTTCAGGGAAAACAGGCCTTTTTGCATAAAAAACGTCATTTTTCGACCCCCTTTTGACCCCCTGGGCCAAAATCAAAATTCTGAAACATTGCTGCACATCTACATGACACCACCAACCATCTCCCAAAAGATGATTAGCCTACTGTGTAAAATGTAAGAGGAGTTCAGGGGAGACGGGGCTTTTTGCATAAAAAACATCATTTTTCGACCCCCATTTGACCCCCCGGGGCAAAATCAAAATTCCGAAACCTTACTGCACATCTACAGGACACCACCAACCATCTCCCAAAAGATGATTAGGCTACTGTGTAAAATGTAAGAGGAGTTCAGGGAAGACAGGGCTTTTTGCATAAAAAACATCATTTTTCGACCCCCATTTGACCCCCTGGGGCAAAATCAAAATTCTGAAACTTTACTGCACATCTACAGGACACCACCAACAATCTCCCAAAAGATGATTAGGCTACTGTGTAAAATGTAAGAGGAGTTCAGGGAAGACGGGGCTTTTTGCATAAAAAACATCATTTTTCGACCCCCATTTGACCCCCCGGGGCAAAATCAAAATTCCGAAACCTTACTGCACATCTACAGGACACCACCAACCATCTCCCAAAAGATGATTAGGCTACTGTGTAAAATGTAAGAGGAGTTCAGGGAAGACGGGGCTTTTTGCATAAAAAACATCATTTTTCGACCCCCATTTGACCCCCTGGGGCAAAATCAAAATTCCGAAACCTTACTGCACATCTACATGACACCATCAACCATCTCCCAAAAGATGATTAGGCTACTGTGTAAAATGTAAGAGGAGTTCAGGGGAGACGGGGCTTTTTGCATAAAAAACATCATTTTTCGACCCCCATTTGACCCCCTGGGGCAAAATCAAAATTCCGAAACCTTACTGCACATCTACAGGACACCACCAACCATCTCCCAAAAGATGATTAGGCTACTGTGTAAAATGTAAGAGGAGTTCAGGGAAGACGGGGCTTTTTGCATAAAAAACATCATTTTGACCCCCATTTGACCCCCTGGGGCAAAATCTAAATTCCGAAACCCTACTGCACATCTACATGACACCATCAACCATCTCCCAAAAGATGATTAGGCTACTGTGTAAAATGTCAGAGGAGTTCAGGGGAGACGGGGCTTTTTGCATAAAAAACGTCATTTTTCGACCCCCATTTGACCCCCCGGGGCAAAATCAAAATTCCGAAACCTTACTGCACATCTACATGACACCATCAACCATCTCCCAAAAGATGATTAGGCTACTGTGTAAAATGTAAGAGGAGTTCAGGGAAGACGGGGCTTTTTGCATAAAAAACGTCATTTTTCGACCCCCATTTGACCCCCCGGGGCAAAATCAAAATTCCGAAACCTTATTGCACATCTACATGACAACACCAACCATCTCCCAAAAGATGATTAGCCTACTGTGTAAAATGTAAGAGGAGTTCAGGGAAGACGGGGCTTTTTGCATAAAAAACATCATTTTTCGACCCCCATTTGACTCCCCAAGGCAAAATCAAAATTCCGAAACCTTACTGCACATCTACATGACACCACCAACCATCTCCCAAAAGATGATTAGGCTACTGCGTAAAATGTAAGAGGAGTTCAGGGAAGACGGGGCTTTTTGCATAAAAAACGTCATTTTTGACCCCCATTTGACCCCCCGGGGCAAAATCAAAATTCCGAAACCTTACTGCACATCTACATGACACCACCAACCATCTCCCAAAAGATGATTAGCCTACTGTGTAAAATGTAAGAGGAGTTCAGGGAAGACAGGGCTTTTTGCATAAAAAACATCATTTTTCGACCCCCATTTGACCCCCCGGGGCAAAATCAAAATTCCGAAACCTTACTGCACATCTACATGACACCACCAACCATCTCCCAAAAGATGATTAGGCTACTGTGTAAAATGTAAGAGGAGTTCAGGGAAGAAAAGTGTGACAGACGGACGGACGGACGGACATGAGTAACAACAATATACACGAACTTTCTTTAGAAAGTGCGGGTATAAATATGTTCAAATCAAATCAATATAAGATGACCTCTGGACCCCCTAAAAATGTACTGTACAATATAAGGTGACCTCTGCTCGCCCTGCTGATGTACAATATAAGGTGACCTCTGGTCTTCTTGTTGATGTACAATATAAGGTGTCCTCTTGTACCCCTACTGATGTACAATATAAGGTGACCTCTGGGCCCCCTTACTGATGAACAACATGAGGGGACCTCTGGTCCCCCTACTGATGTACAATACATGTATAAGATGATCTCTGGTCTCCTTATTGATGAACAATATAAGGTGTCCTCTGGTCCCCCTACTGATGTACAATATAAGGTGACCTCTGGTCCCCCAACTGATGTACAATATAAGGTTACCTTTGGTCCCCTACAGAAGTAATGTACAATGTAAGGTGACTACTGGTCCCACTACTGATGTACAATATAAGGTGACTTCTGGTCCCCCTACTGATGTACAATATAAGGTGACCTCTGGTTCCCCTACTGATGTACAATATAAGGTAACTTCTGGTCACCCTACTGATGTACAAGATAAGGTGACTTCTGGTCCCCTACTGAAGTACTGTACAATATAAGGTGACCCCTGGTCCCCCTATTGACGTACAGTATAAGGGTCCTCTGGCTCCCCTACTGATGTATAAAATAAGGTGATATACAGTACAATATAAGGTGACCACTGGTCCCCGTACTGATGTACAATATAAGGTGACCTCTGGTCCCCCAAATGATGTACAATATAAGGTATCCTCAGGTCCCCCTTATGATGTGCAATAAAAGGTTACTTTTGGCTCCCTATTAATTTAAAATGTAAGGTGTCCTATGATCCTTCTAATGATGTACAATATGATAGTAGGGTAAGGTGACCACTGGTCTCCCTACTGATGTACAGTATAATTTAAGGTTACCTCTTGTCCCCCTAATTACTTTCACGTTTCTGGTTATATATATATATATATATTAGGAAGTAGATCTGTATAAAGTTATAAATATGATTATTTTGGAGTAAGACAAAGAAAACTGTCTATCATATAAAATTCGATTAAAATATAAGGTGACCTGAGGTCTCCGTATTGATATCGATGAATTTACTTTTGTGCCTTAAATGCCTGAAGAGTTCCTAAAATGTTTTATTACTACGCAAAATAACGAACTATTTGCGGGGGACCCGAGGTCCTAGTTGAGCGTACGTTTTATCCTTCTGCGAGCGGCGACGCAGTTTGGCACAGCAGTACTATGATGTCATAAGCGTTAATTTTTCCCCCGCACTATCAGACTTTGGCGTGTCAAACCATCGGGGTTTGGCGCAGACCATCGGACTTTGGCGTGACCATCGGACTTTGGAGTCCCATCACACTTTAGAGTCCTATACATCTGAATTTATATACTGGTAGCTAAATCTGAATAAAACTCAGACACAGAAGCAAAAAGTAATTTATCGATATATAATGCGGAATCAGCGTTCGCTATTGCTCGGTATTCATTCCTACCTGCACAAAAAATCAAATTTTTGTTCATCACTTTTAAATGCAAAACATTTCCTTTTTACCCTCAAAATACTGCTTCAGAAATAAAGATAACCGCAGGTTACGTTACTTTCATCTTAAACATCTACTTTTTAAGATTGCAACTTGAAACCAGCTGACATTGTCTTTCTGTTGGATTCCTCAGGAAGTGAAGGAGTGCGACATTTTAGGGAACAACTTAACTTTGTCAAAAACTTCGTAAAAGAGTTTGACATAGGACCCTCCAATGTACAAATCAGTGCAGTGTCTTTTGCAACAAGAATACGTGAAAACTTCAACTTAAAGACATACCATACTAAGGCGGACATTCTTAATGCCATCGATAGAATTCCATATATGTCCGGTTCCACACACACTGCTGAAGCAATCACCTACGCGATTCAGCACAGCTTCACCCCTATTGGTGGTGACAGGGCCCCCTGTTAGTGACGTCTTGTTCGTTGTGACTGACGGACAGTCCATTTCACTTTCAGCAACAAGTCAGGCGGCCAACCTAGCCCATAAAGCTGGTATTAAAACATTCGCAATAGGAATCGGAAACTTAATATCCATACGGGAACTTTTAAATATAGCCTCAGATTCAAAACACGTGTTTCATGTTTCCACATTCGATGCCCTTCACCTACTTCAGAATGAGCTAAGAAATAAAACTTGCGAAGGTAACCTTAACAGTTGTGCTTTTTCATTTATTATCTGAATTGCATATCGACTTTTTTGAAATATTCTTATTGTAATTGTCTTAAATTTATATTTTCACATTTATTTAGCATTATCCCAAAGTAGTTTGAATTGCTCTAACCAGATATCGAACTGTCAAAGCTATGGTCCTTCTGTTTGCATTACGTACGCCCAGTGGGGACGAGATAAATGTCCGCTGTACTATGATTTCTATTTGACAGAAAGAAGATTGTCTTTTCATGGAAAATTTAAAAGCAGGTGAAATCTGGTGCTGTAGTGATCGCGATTGTTTAAGAAGATACTTGGGAATTTAACTTGAGGCTACTGTTGTACGAACGTCTTTTTCTACAAAAAATCCTCTACTGTAAAAATCAATTAATAAATGATAATTCATATAAAATGAAAAAACATTTAGATTTCTGTTATCTTTGTTGAAAGAAGATGGGGAAACAAGGCGTGCAGAATTCCTTTAGCTTCAGATGTTAAGAAATCGTCTTCAGTTTGTGAATTGAGTATTTTAATTAAGTTCTCATTATTGAAATTTATGAAATTATGAGAAACAAACCTTTTCCGAGAGAAAAAAAATCTCGAAAAAAATTCTTTCCGTAAAATATGAAATGGTATTCGTGGGACTCGAACTCTAGCAATAAAATTCCGAGATATATCACTGCTTTGAGACTACATCAACATTGCCCATGATGGAATTGGGCGTTAAATCATGTTTGTGATAGAAACCTTGACTTAATGGACGAAGTATTTCTCGAAAAGATGCGAATGTTTTGTCATTAAAGTGTCGTTAAGGTATAGTGGGTCTATGCTCCATGATTTTTAAACCAAAAAAATGTATATTTTATTGCATTATATTATCAACACTACCAGACTAGTATTAAATTAAAACTGCTAGACGAGTATGCAACTTTCTGAAAATGTGCTTTGATATTAGGAAGGAAAACTTTCAACAAACCTGATATGCTTACTTGGATATTTTATTTATGTATGTTAATTGTTGTATTCATGACTATATGCCAATGTATAAACATTTAAAAAGCTACTTCTTTAGGGACTTCTATGCTTTATTAGGTCTTTCCACCTTTCTGTGGAAAGACCTATTGAAATGCTTATGTTTTTTATTCTTTTTCTGCCGGACTTTTGAAACCGCAAGACTTATCGGAAAACTTTATAGTTCATGATATTGGATATTAAAAGTTATTCCGAAAAACGACCCAAGAAGTTTGAACTTTGACCCCTTTCGAAGTTATCACCCTTCACGCAAGAAATGCTTGTTATCGCTACTCCTCCGAAACCGTAAACCGTATAGGTATGAAACCTTCACTAATGTCTTTGACTACTTGAGAGGATCTTTCAATCTATTCATTGCGAAAGGATCTATAGACCCCTTATATGAATTATTGCCCCTGAAAGTTTTTGAATTTTAAAAATAATTAAAAATTTTCAAAACGAGAAGTCGTAAAGACATGGGACCAACTGCATCAGATTCATTGACCTTTGATCTTAAAATTTATGTAAAGGTCAAAGGTCAAGGTCATTTCAAAAATGAGAAATTAAGCTATTTTAATCTTTTTCAACTTATATCATCTGTCTGTGCATCATTAAAATGCACTCTTAAAACTATTTCAAAGATTTCATTCTTGTCCCCTAAGATTAACCCTCTTAGAAGTTATATCCCCTTGTGTGAAAAACCTTGTTATCCCTACTCCTCCGAAACTGTGGACTGTAGAGACACCAGAGCTTCACTAATGTCTTAAGGAACTTTAGGCCTAACTTCACTGTATAAGTGCAAAAGGATCTGATGACCCTTATGTGAGTTATTGCCCTTTAACTTCTTTGTACTTACTATTATACCTTATAACTTGAAAACTATAAGTCATAGAAGCATGGGGTCAAATGTGTTATAACCTTTGACTTTTGACCTTGAATATTTTGTCAAGGTCAAAGGTCAAGGTAATTCCATTTTTTTTAGTTTTCATTTTTTCTTTGCTTTAGGACAATTCTGGTTTCTTTTTCATTGAAATTAATTCTTAGGAGTCAAAAATAAAGATTTGAAATTCAAAGAAGGTGGAAAGACCTCTTATTGTTCTGTGAACAATAAGTCTCCTAGTTTTAATTACATTACTTTCCATGTATTCATGTACATTTGTAAATATTATATGTTAATGTATTTTAATATAGACTTTTGTTCGACGCCATTGAATATGTTGATGTAAAAATAGGCGTTTAATTAAATAAACCAGTTTCAGATTCAGTTTAATGTATGAAGATGTTGTCAATAAATGAATTGAAATGAAATTGCAAACTTTTAGGGTTATCTTTGCAAAAATTGGAGCGAAGACCCACTCGTATTGAACATTTTTTGTTAAAGTATGTTAAATTGATATTTTTGTTCTTTTTAGTGTTTGTATGCTTTTTCATAGGCAAACAATATCAGTCTTTGTGAGATTTTTGTAAATTGTTGAGATTTTACGTTAAGTTTACTTCAATGTTAGATGAAATATCGAAGAAAATTTGGATATAATTGAAATTTAATTTACTTTGTCCGCCTTATTCCCCCGTCTTCTTTATTGATATTTTCTGAATGACTCCCTAGGGGCTTCCCTTTTATCTCCCACTACATTTTTTTTACAACCACAAGAAAAAATTATATCCGAGATATTTGATTTATTGTACAAGAGAAATTTGAATTTGTTTATAACGCCCCAAGTATGAAGGACTTTGAGAATTGATAATTAAAGACAGAAAGACTCGAATTCTGAAAATAATAACTCGAGAAAATCTTAACAGGAATTATGTGCCTGCGAGAATATCATACAATTACTTGCGTTTTTGATGACAATACGATGGTTTAGGTACCCGATGAGTACAATACACTAGACAAAATTGCTAACGCACCACTTGTTGATTCTTATTTGTGAATTGAACATTTGCCGGATCGCTACTAGTGCATAAAATATGCCATTATTTCCAAAACAGTGGGACTGACAAATGTCTTGCTATCATGAAAAGACTCTTGAATGACCTTCTTGTCCGAAAACCAATTTCCAGATTTGCATTGCGCACCATTTTTGCCCAGATATGAAATCCTTGATCACTGTAGGTGGTCTGTGAGGTTTACACAGGAGTAGTCCCCCAGTTATAAACCAAATAACAAACAGTCATTGACTCTCATATCACCTAGTAATCATTCGATGCCTTAGTGTCCATACCAAATCAACTCAACTTCCGGTTGACCTAGTTTTGTGGAACAATTTTCAACTTATTGCATACTGCTAACTTAATGCGGTGGCTATCTATAGTAAACGTTTTTATGTTTGCTATTTGCAACATTTTTTCATAAGTGGAATTGATAAGCTTTGTATTTTTTCTCTTTTTTTTTTTACAGATTTCCGTAAAGGCACCCCTTGCAGACGCCAGAGTGTCTGCTTTAGCACGCTCCTCTAGCGTCAAATGCCGCATAAAGTGTAACTTTTTTCTGAGTTCTTGATTAGTACGAATGTAAAGAACACAAATACGAAGAAAAAAATGAAATTTTTCTCTTCAAAAATGGAATAGAAACGATTTTATCATTTTCCTTGAATTGGTCACACTTCAGTAAACATTGTAGTAATATATAGGGTTTGACATTAATATGCCTCATTTTTAGCCGGGCTTATTGCTCAAAGAGCAATTGCCGGCTTATGTGATCCTGTTCAAGGCAGGATGTTGACCCCATAGTCGCCATTTTAAAGTTACGTGCAAAAATATAGTTCTTACTCTCAACCGCTTTTGAGATAATACAAACGCTAAATAAAGCAACAAAAATAAATCGAAGTTTCATCTATATAAAATAAATATTAGTAGTAATGACTTTGAAAACTTCATAAGTAAAAGAACATAGTTCATTAGCGTAAGGATTTTTGATAATCAGTGTTACCGTAGTTCTCTACACATACGAGGTAAAGCAGGAGAGGGAACCAGACTGGCCTGTTTGTTTACATTCAGCTGCATGCGGTACCAGATTAATTCTGATTCTGACGAAATCGGACCGTGGTATTAGGACTGAAAAACTCACTGTCAGTGTCTTATCATTTATATTGATAGTTTTAAAATAATTTTTTCATCAGAATATAAACGTGATTCATGTAAGAAATCCATTCTACTCTGTAAATGAGCCCGGCTCTCTGTACTTCTGAGTACTTTGATTTATTAAAGAAACATATTTATATACCAAATACATCATAAACAGGTTTTTAAACTTAAAACATTAATTCTTCTAGATGGTGCGTTAGCAATTTTGTCCAGTGTAATCTACGAGCCCATATGACCAATTTAGTTCTGTAATACTGATCATAGAGCAAATAGTTATTTTATGTTCCAACCAAAATGTATTATTTTTCTCCTCTGCCTCTCTCTCTCTCTTCTGTTTTTCATGTTAAGGTAGATCAACATTGATTTTCTTCATACAGAGGTGAGTAATATGTTCTAACTGCGTCGCTGTCATTGAGGCGGGTGGATTTAAAAATAATCTTTGTATCAAGTAAAACTTTTTCTTGCGAGTATTGGACTTTTACGAGAAGCACTGACTTTCACAGTCGACGCTTTTCTTGACATTTAAACCTGCATCATGTATGGAGGTACGGAATTGACAATAGTTAAGTACACCTTTCTAGCGGTCATAGGTAGTGTCCCTTATATTGTAAGGGATACTAACATGTGAAGACCGGAAGTTGAGGGAAGGTAGGTTGTTGTTTTCTTAAAGGACAACTGATTTACGCTTTGAAGTAAATGTCATTTGGTTGAATTAATTTCGTAAAAGAGTTTCCGTACATTGTTCTAGTTTAAAAGTAAGCTGTCAACTGTAAAATTCAGCGCTACTCGTGAAAGTCCACTACGAGTATGTAAAGATTTCAGTTGTAACCTGCTCTGTCCATTTTTTCAGTTGTGAATTGTCCTGTTTGCCATGGAGGTAAATGTCATAAAGTAAAATGCATTGAATGAAAGGTTCACTTACATAATTGTGTGCAAGAAGGCACCTGTTACATACAGGTATGTTTTCTTTTTTATATTACGTTTAAGTTCAACCATACTCGTATGGGTCACAGTGCTAAAAATTAGGAGACCAAGATGATAAAGGGCACAATAAAAGGGTTTCATCAAATTATCATACAGTCTGGTGAATGTCATATTGGTGCTCACGAGAAATGTTGCAGAGATGATAAATGTATCGGTGAGAGATAATTTGAGATATTAGGTAAAATAAGATTATGTTATAAATGCCAATCATAAACATCATCACTTTACACTCTCCAATAAAAATTAAAGTTTTCATCATTACAGAACATGCGTTTTCGAAATGCCATACAACAACACATAATTCAACACATGCACCTTCAAGAAAACAAACTGCATCTTCTGCATCCGTATCAAGTTCTACAACACTAAGATCGATATCTTCAGATACAGTCTCCAGCACACTGAAAGAATTAGTTTCTACTCCATCGAATGCACTCCATGTGAGCTCACCACCAAGTGAAACACCTCTGATATCGTCCAGTGGAGCCATGTCAACTCATATCTCTCCTAGTATCACAATAACTTCAACTTCTAGCTCTTCTCAAGGTAATTTTTGACAGCTTTTTTTGAATAATTAAATATAGTAGTGATATTTTAAATAAAGGTGATATTTATGTCCTGTAGTTGATTTTATGCACTAGCATGCTGAAGTTTGCGGCGATTATGGGAATGGGATACCATGTGACATTGCAGTATATACATTGGACCTACGACACATTGTGAGGTAGGAAAGGATTTCTGCATGACGGACATAATGCATGAAAGAGAAATGAAAGAGTTTTTAAAAGGTCAGTACATTCTATGTTGTTGTAAATATATCAAAATAATGGTGTATCCTACTACTGATGTCCCATTGTTTCGTTTTAAACGGTGCGTGAATGAGACTGTCTGTAGAACCCACTGGTTATCTCAGACATCGAATCAGGATCACTGTACACGGTTCGGTAGAGTCCTGCATAGTGGTGCTTACTCCTGTCACTTCTGTTGTATATCAGACGAATGTAATCAGGGACTACTGCCAGACTCTACCACCTTGTATACCTGGAGATAAAATCATTATCATGAGATGATCACCCTGCTTCTCTACATCAATAGTTTTTTAATTCAAAAGTATTAACAACATTTCCTTCATTAACAACGTTGAAAGTAAACAATTAAAAGAACTGCTGAGAAAGCGTCCATAATCTTATTTGTTTTCTAATATTACACAACTACCACAAAATAAATACTCTATAATGAAACATATGGAGATAACGCACAGTATTCAAGATCAAAAGTCAATAAAACAATACAGAATAGGTGCAGAGCAAACACGGACCTCCAAATCATTAGAGGTAGGATCAGGTGATATGGAGGAGTGAGCATCCCATGAGACCGGTCACACCCGCCGTGTGCTGCTTGTCATGATTGGAAAATAACAGAAAAATTCGCCGTCAATTCGGTGTATTGATAATGACTGACAATTAGTATGAAAACCGTCATTCAGCATTTGACTCAATGATAAATTGTATTTGCTCACAGGGTCTTTGTATCGACCATAGAACCTACGAAATGATGGCTATAAACGAGAATATTGATATTTTTGTTTCATCAACTTGTTTTTCTCAATAATTTACATCGTTTTAGAAAGTGTTTGTCCGTAGAGCATGCACTTGCGTATCGATTCAACTGAGATACATAAACTCCTTATGCGGGTGATGAAGATATATTGCTGCATAAGTAAGGGAAGTTGACAATTGAAAAGTTAAAGTCTTCATGTTTATCATAGAGCTTGGTTGTTAGATTAACCGTGAGTACCATTAACGTCTTTTTGAAGTAAAATATCCAAATATGAAACAGATGAGTCATGGTATGTGGTATTTTTTTTTAATCTCAAGCTCACCAGTATATATCGTATAGACATCAGAATAAAACTGACCATTGTTAATTGACAATAGGTTGTCGATATATCTAAATGTCGAGTTGAAGGCCACAGCCAGTGTTTCAGATGAATACAAAAATAGGTCGTATAAAGGCATAAACGTGGATCTTCCGAGGATAACATTAGGAACCAAGGAGAAATAAGCCTGTCGACTGGTCGCACTTCTTCAAAATAGGACATATTTCCTTTTTCAGACAGGTTGTTAAATGAAACATATAAAGATAGCGAACAGTATTCAAGTTTTCTCATAAAAGTGGAATTTTTTCTGCGACTGGTCCTTACTATCAAAAGCAAAACTTCGTTTCTGTAAGGGATGGTTGACAGTTTAGAGATAAGGCATTTTCCTTCTGAAACATATCTTCTGTTTCATGTCATAACTTTTATTTTCTATCATTTATAAGCTGCCAATTATAATTTTAACATAAACTCGTGCGGTACACACATAGAGAGAGTTGAGAAGAAATAGTTTGCTCCGCTCCTAATTTGTAATGTTTAATGGACCTTTTAGCTCGAATACTGTTCGTTATCTCCACATATTTCATTTCAATTCACTGATCTTGGCTTCTTTTGAATGAAATCTCTGTGAGACACATGTTTTTCTGTTTTAGGGATTATACTTTCTTTGTCTCAAAGAAAAAAAATTGTCGTGTTTCAAATTATGATATTTTTTCAACATATTTTCAATATATTTTAATTTTTCAAAATATTTTCAAAATATGATTTAACATTTTCATTCTCTCTAAACTTGCTGTTTTAAGAGCTGATAATCCTCTTGTTTGTATTTCTTTGCTTCTTTATACTTCCTAATAATGTTGGTTAGTCAATATATATCAAAGAAGTAACATGTAAGCTCCAATCATGTGAACATCATTCGATATTACATAGAATAAATCTTATGCAAGTGAGCAGACATTATCTTAAACTTATTCATAATCACTACAGTGTTGTCATTGTATGGTTACAAAATATCATGTCCACTTATTGTTCTTGTTCATTAAAAAAGTGTTGGGAAGAATAAAGTCCGATTGTAAGAATCGTAGAAAATATGTAAACTTTGTTCCAAATCAGTTTAGGCTTCTTCTCGTCAAAATTTCATGGAATATTTTATCCCCGAAAGAAACTCTGTTGAAGAGTTCATGGGATCAGCTCCCTGAATTTTTCTAGAATTAATGAATAATTTATAATAAACATTTGTAATTAAAATGATACTAAAATACAAGAACATAGCTTAACAATAGATATAAAAAATAAATGCAAAATTTGACCGTACGATCCGTTATATTTACAAATAAGGTGACAGAAACTTTTTTTATCCCCTGTTTAACACTTCATTCGGTGGATGTAACTCATTGGAAATTTTAATATACCACAATTTAGTGCAGTTGTGACGTCACAACGTCACAATGGTTTTTGCGAAAGTGTGATAAAGTAAGCGGGAAATTGGGGTAAATGGGACACTTTTCATAAAATTTCCAAACTTCTAAAAAAAAAGGTGTAAATTTTCATATTTCACATAAGTATTGTATAGTTGCAATTTTGTGTTAGAAAACCGTAGTGCAAATTTTCGTTTCGTTTTAGAACTATAAAATTAAACAAACATCTTAATTATCGTTCACATTGTCCCTATAATAAAGTGGAGTCGTTATCTCCATACTCATCATATAAAAACATTGTAAAAATTTGCTGTGAAGTATTAAACATGGGATAATCTAACTTTTATCCAACTCGTTGTGTGTTTTTAAACACACAACTCGTTGGATAAAAATCACATCCAACTACAAATCATGAGAGATCCAATTTATATTTGCGGACAACTGAAAACACTCCAACAACAAATCCTTTGTCAGTAGCTAATATTGGTGGTTACTCAGAAAATGCTTTCGCATATCGATGAAGTTCAGAGACAAAATCACAAAATGAAACATTTGGAGATAACAAACAGTTTTCACGATCAAAAGTCCATAAAACAATACAAAACAAGAGGAGAGCAAACACGGACCTCAAAAACGTCAGAGGTGGGATCAGATGCCAGATGAATTTATACATAATAAGGGGACGTTGACATTATGTAAATAAGACGAGATTCCCAATTTATCATAGTTTAGGTGTAATTGAAATTGAATAACTATGGAGCAGGTGTGGAAGACTTGTTGGTGTCTTTTGATATTGAATTCTCTTGAAGAGTTATTAGATAAAATTAAACATTGTTATACAATCTATAAAATGTCAGAGGATCTTATGTTTACTTGAAGTCTATATTTGAAAACATTCTATGAAAATGTAGCTGATGGAGTCATTCTACATGATGCAATGATATATATATATATATATATATATATATATATATATATATATATATATATATATATATATATATTAAACATAGTAAACATGATTTAAACAAAGTTTCTATGTAACCATTTTTAATCCTTGAATGGTCATTTTATTATTTTAAAAAGCAAAATGCACTGGTACTTTTTACTTGGCTAATTCCTTGTTTTGATTGCCTAATATATTACGTCCCAATAGAGAATTTTCTCTATTATAAAGGCTTTATGTCATTAGTCATGCAAAATTATTTTTCTGATTGACAGACAATATCTCTGTTGTTTTTGGAGACCAGGTCTTCCAACAATCTATTGGTACCATGGGTACCAATTGCTCCCCGTTATTAGCAGACTTATATTTGCATTCATATGAAGCAGAGTTTGTGCAAAAATCTTATGCGTGAAAAGAAAACACTTGCTTTGGCCTTCAACTCAACCTTTAAATATATCAACGACGTATTTTCAGTTAACAATAGTCATTTCCATTCTGCGGAAGCGCAACAATGCAAACCAAAAATAAATAAAGAAAAACGAAATTATCAAATAAAGAAAAACGAAAATATTAAATAAAGAAATTGAAATTAATATATATAGAAAAACGAAGAAAAACGAAATTATTAAAAGTAGAAAACGAAATTATTAAATAAAGAAAAACGAAATTATTAAAAGTAGAAAACTGAAACTTTGACCTTGTCAGCAAATACAATTTATTATTGAGTCAAATGCTGACTGACGTTTTAAAACTAATTGTTAGTCAATTATTTGTACTCTGAATTTCCCGATCATAATAAGGAGCACATGGCGGATGTGACCTGACGGCAGGGAATGCTCACTCATCCATGGCACCGGATCCCATTTCTGATATTTTGGAGGTCCGTGTTTTCTCTGCTCCTACTTTGTATTGTTTTACGGACTTTTGATCTTGAATACTGTTCGTTATCTCGATATGTTTCACATCAGATAAAGAGCAACACGTTTTGGGCTATGTGCTTAAGGTGATATAGAAATAAAGCTTAAGTTACTTGACATTAAGGCCTCATCTAAAAGACCCCCTGTCTGTTACTCTTATTGTAGGAGGTTTGGCGAGGAAACAGTCGCCACTAATGTTTAACCGCTTAGAGATTCAAGCACAAACCTCCCGACCACAAAGCGAATGCCTAACCACTAGGCCAGTCCGTTAGTATATTCAGTCATGCAAACAAAAATGTAGTGGTTTTAGAAACATAAGGATATGGAAATAACGAACAGTATTCAATCTCAACGTCCATTAAACAAATATACAAAACAAGAGCAGAGCAAACACGGACCTCCTTTCCACTTTTATTGATAACATACATGTAGATACGACACTGTGTCAATGATAGGACGTGCTAATCGTTAAAAGAATACCTGTTATAAGCGGTTAATATATTTAATGGAATAATCTGAAGGATACGAACTTATAACTCAAACTTCTTAAGAACGAAGAACGCCGGTGGTATACTGCCGTAAAGGCAATGCATTTATTATCATATTTCTGTACTGAAAAAAATATGGGCATAACTTGATTACATTTATATTTCAGTCATCTTAATAAAGTGTATTTTACGTTTGAAACTACTTTAGAAAACATGTAAAGAAATAAATTTTAATATCATTTTTGATTTGGAAGTAATTTTCAATAAGAAACTCTGAATAAATTTTACAAACCTAAATACATAATTTTTCATTCATTCACATTCTATGAATATTTCTTGCACAACGGTTAAAATGATTTATTATCTACACCTATTGACAATGTGGCGTAGTAATTAAAAAGTGTGCTCTTCAGCTGCATAGTTAGAAGCTGATCCTTACATCGTGGGTTGGGTTCGAAGACACTCCGCGAAGTATAAATACCGTCTTCGGACGCTAAGGTTTTCTGATACGCTTCCTTGGTCTACGATGTTGTTTAAAGTGGGATTGCTTTGTCACGTGATCTCGAATCCTACCACGTAACGCTCAGATTGCGTCATGAACAGAAATAAAAAGCGTATAGAAAATCTGCAGTCTTGATTCTTAATCACGTTATTTGCAAATCAGCATAAGCGTGAATGACACCATATCTAGAACGACACGTTACATGTATCTAATAAATCATTGTTTAATTGCGATTTCCATTCATAAAATTAAAGCAATATAAACTGCATTCTTGAAAATTTTATTTTGCAGTTAAAATGTGTTATTATACTATATTTGTATGTAACATAAAAACTTTATGATCAATTAGACTAAATAAAGCAGAAAAAGACTTTTATATACAATCGAATATAAAGGATAAATAAGAAATCATTATTGTACAGCACGACAATAATGTAATTTTGATTCAATCGAAGCTTATAAATAGTTCTTCCATCGCAAATATGAACAACAGAAGTTTTATGAACGTTATAAAAAAACGTTATTTTTTTGTCATTGAAATAGTTATTTACAATTTTGCAATAAAAAATTCCGACATCAAAGTTGCAGCTCATATTACTTTAAAGAGTCAATAGTATATCCCGAGTGCAGATATCGTCATTTACAAAAGCAATTGCTGATTGGCTGAATGATTTTGATCAACGTCCAATCACAATTTTGGAGAAAAAAATTCCAATTTTTGATAATACTGTAGATCAAGGGTTTGTGATGAGTAGGAGTAGCAGATCAGAAGGCCATGGCTAGTGAAAATAAGTCATTCAGTTGATTCCATATATACAGAGGTCCCGTGTCACAGTAGTTGTTGGTACGAAAAACGATTGCTTACTGCTCAATGACCTTGAGTGCCGAGTACGTTGTAAATTAGCAGCCCTCCACCCGCAAGTGGTGACGTCTGGATTTGAATGTAGAAATGTCGATAGGGCCGTAAACAACAAACAAAAATATAATATTAACCAATTACTATATACAAACAAAAGAGTGCAATTTCTTTTACATAGGTTTTGATACGAAGTAACCAGTGCAATGTTTGATATTTGACGTAATTCTTTTATCTCTACAAGTTAAGACCTTGACCATTATAAAGCATGAGCTATACAATCCCATTGATAACGTTTTCTACAGAATGATCCTCGTAATATTAACATTGTTTTCCTCGGCAGGAATCTCATTAAGTAAGTTGTTTATTATTATGCATAGAACTAAGTGGTGCTCCAAAAGAATATTTTATGGTAAATAGAAATTTGCGTAAAAAACAAAACTTAGACAACGCATGTTATTTTAAACTTTTTTATTACTTATTTTTTACTCGAACTAGTTATACATACTCAGATTTCAATTTGTAAATCTTGATCCTCTGTTGTTGTGATGAAATGCACTCTGTAATATATTCTGCTGTACATCTACCCATGGAATTTGAAACTGAAGTTATAATCTGTATCAGTTTATATATAAGGCCATACTACCTATGTGGCTCAAAATCACTGTGACGTCATTTATTAAAGTTTACCATTAATGTTTATTGAAGAAATAAGGTATCATTTTAAAACATCTATCGGAATATAAATACGGGTTGGTCACGAGATTAAATTCCATTAAATTCCATAAAGCCCGAAGGGCTTTATAATGAATTTAATCTCGTACCAAGATTAATTGATGACCTGGTCTTCAAAAACTACATAGAAATTGTCAATAGGAAACTAAAGCATCTTTTTAAAGCCAAAGTCAGAGTACTTATGTAAATGTACATAAATACAATCAAAATGCTTTAAAATAATTTTGCAAATTATCAAAGACAAGGTTAATTAATTTACGAGTTTCATTTTTATTGAAAATACAGCTGTCTATTTAAAAAAAACCCTTAATTTTCGTGGAGAATGAATGTTAAATAGGTGGAAGAGTCGTAAGTTTTGATGTTATAAATTTTAGGTGTTGTAACTTTACTTTTCTAAAGCTGGCATGGGCACGATTACTGAAAAACGTAATCGATTAATAATCGATTACTTAGAGGAATTTTGTGTAATCGATTAATAATCGATTACAGCCAGTTTTGTCCTGTAATCGATTACTTTAGACAATGTAGTCGATTAATAATCGATTACTTTCAATTCTCTTCCACCCTCAAATATCAAAGCAGAAAAAATATTTATATATTATGTAGTTATGTTAGTGATATGCTCTGAAGTTTGAAAGTATTTACGCAGTTTGGATTTGAACCTCCATATTTAGAAACTTTTGATTATTGCAGAAATTATGTAATATTTCTTAAAGTGATTTACAAGCATTTGAACATTCTACATGTGGTAGTATGCATATACACAACCCGTGTTTTAATAATTTTGTAAAAAAAAATAAATAAAATAGATCTTAGAAATGAACATGTAAACTCAAAGTATCTTTAAGTATAAATAATAGCACAATTTCTTGTGTTGAAATAATTGTTTTGAGAACTATCAATCGTTCTTTAATATTGTTTGTATATAGTGACATTATTAATTATAAAATACTATGAAGTTCACAGTTCACACCTCATTATCTGCAGTCAAGGATATCCCAGTCAATTAGCCAAGATAAACACAGTGACACTTAACATCCCCTCTTTTTAAAAATACAGACACTCATTTACAAAACAAGTTAATTTTGAAGCTAAACATGGAAGTGATTTTGCAAATTTAAAACACAAGAGATATGATAAATGTTTTCCTCTTATTTTTCTATCAGGTCCTAGCTAGAACAATGTAAGTTATATTTCAGATAATTTGTATTTATATAAAAGCACTTAAATTTATTTTTGCTATATACATGTATTATTTTCTGTCAGAGAACAAAGTTTATCAACTTCTAAAATATGAAAAAGACTCGACCAGTATGTCAATAATGCAAATTTTATTGTGAACATTATTCAAGATTTGATTATAAAAGTTAAGAAATCAACACATATCACTGGGTAGTTTGTATATAATATTAATGTTTGACTGAATGGAAATGATTCTACAACATAACATTCATGTATAAAGTAGTTGTGTATATATATGTATAAAGTAATTGAAAGTAATCGAAAAGTAATTATAATTACATTGGAAATTTTAGCTTATTATCGATTAAATTACGATTACAAGTAATCGAAAATCTCTTCGATTACAGATAACTGTCGATTACTTGAAAAAAAGTAATCATTACAATCGATTACGATTACACCATGCCTGTTCTATGGTTTAAATATTGCCGACTAGGCGTGAAAGAGTAGTTAGTTCATCATTGAATTCTTGGAAGTTTAAAGTATCCAAATCTGATAAACACACTTCCTGAAAATTTTGTTCTTCAGTACTCCTGAAGTTTCTCCTTCACGCCTGTTAATATTTTACCGACGAGTAAAATTAAGGCTTTGTAGAACATCAACTGGAACCCTTTGTATATCTTTATCTGTAAGGATTTTTATGATATTAAGGACAAGTATTGGTATGAAAATTCAAATTCATTGTTTTAATGTTCAAATTATTTAAATTTGACACTAAATTTTGAGGAATTTACTCATTATAAAGGAGTTATGGGTATAAACTACAGCTGAACTTCGGTATCTCGAATATACCGATATTTCGATAACCATGTACATTTTAACTTGTAGAATCAAATCACTATTTATAATTTAAAAAATGAGTCTCACAATCAAAGATAATGTTGATAGCTGCTTTTTCAGCTCGGACCAGAATATACATATCGTGAAATCTATCTTATTTTTTTCCACTTCCAAATTATTGACAACCAAAGGATAGATGACTTTTAATTGTGGTTTAAGAGCACATGATGTGTAATATCAATAATCACAGATCAGAGCTTACATGATATGTTTTTGCCAAAGAATCAAAATATGGAAGACTTTTAAATTGACTATTTATTTGATATTTCAAAGGAAGAGACTAAAGTTTCTGTCGAATGTGATTAAAACTATAAAACTGTATATTTGCATTAGGTAGTTTTGTATCATTAAAAGAATAATCTATAATGGGATTGTTATCAGACTGATGTCCATGACAACAGTTAAGTCTATGTATATTGACAAAAAAGGCCTACCACCTCCAAACTTCTACACCGTGGACTTGATATTACGCTACTGGCATTGTCATTGTCACCATATGGATAGGCCGCACAATCTGTCTTCAATCCCCTAGGCATATAATAAATATGTTCAAAACAAAGACAAACGGTTGATGATCAGATTGGGTCAAATTTACCCTATCAACATTAATTAAAACTGTTTTTCTATTTTAATTCGTGTATACTGATCAACTTTTAATTTGATTTTAGCAAGCACCCTTCACAGACGAGGACATAATGTACCTTTAATAAACTGCCCGTCTTGTGAGCACCACATCTGTGACGTCAGTAACACCATCCAGTGTGAAGTTTGTCAAATTAAAGTTGAACATCACGGACAACCTCCGATAGATACAAAATGTTTTCATGTACGTAACAATTATCATTTTAAACTGTTGGAAAAAAACTATTCATTGATAATTTGAAGTAATTGGATTCGTCACTAGTCAGCTTTTGGACGATTTCAGTCATATCATATCCCCTAATATAAAAATTGTAAATAACAGCTTGATATTAAACCAAAATTTTTAAAATCTAAATACATCATTTGACAAAAAATTCATTTTAAAATCAAATTAAAACTAAACCCTCACTAATGAAATAAAAACAAATTTGATGAAATATGGTGAAAATGAACAGTATTCAAGCTCCATTTAAAGAATACAAATTAAGGTCAGAGAAAACGGAGACCTCTAAAACAGCTTATATGAGCCGTCAAGTTACAAGAAAGAGTAGCTCTATTATGTATGCTGAATTATTTGACTTTAATAGTATAAATACAAGTATCATTTTCTACATATACAGCTTTGTCAATAGCAAAACGTATGTAGTTGTAATATAAATTAGTAAATGTACAAATCTCGAGACAAAATACACCTGAGAGTATGTAACATTCCTTAGATTTATTGCAAAGATTTCTGTAAACTGAGACGGAGACTTAACAAAAATACGTGTGTTTTTGTTCTCTTATTTTTGACAGAGGGTGTGTAAATACATGTTCATGATATATGCCAATTCTTTTAATGATATTTAAACAGCAAGACTGATTTTACTTTTACATACATTGTCAATGATCTTATCCGTAGGATTTTTCCATCATTGAAGGCATATTTTGTGAGAGTCTTTATTCAGATTCCATAGTAAATCAGCTCTGTCTTTATGTAAAAGGTTCTTGTATTTCCTCATTCTTTTTTCCCTCGTTCCAGTGCGAAAAAAATACTCAGTAATGAAAAAAAGTGATATGGAAACAGGGCAAAGCATGCATTCGGAATTTTTATATCTCAGTTGATTCGATAAGCAAGAAACAAGAATTTCAGAAGTCTTATTTAATACAAATACAATTTGTCATTGAGTTGAATGCTAACTGACGGTTTTCATACTTACTGTTGTTCCATTATTAACACACTGAATTGTCGACGGATTTTCCCGTTATTTCCCGATCATAACAAGGAGCACACGGTGGGTTTGACTTGTCGGCAGGGGATGCTCACTCCTCCATGGTGCCTGGTCCCACCTCTAATATTTTGAAGGTTTGCTCTTCTCCTATTTTGTATTGTTTTATATATTTGATCTTAAATACTGTTCGTTATCTCCATGGGTTTCATAAGTAGATCATGCACTTTGGCATTGAATCAAATGAGCCGAGACTATTTTTCTTGTGGTGAAAGGATGTTGAGATAAAAGTAAATTGCAATTTTAGTTTATTCATTGTTTCAATTTTGGTCTAAATACTGTATCCAGGGTTATTTTCACCCCATATGTTATTTTTTGTCGTTTCAGTTCAAGATTTTGCGTTTTTACATTGTTTTGATCTGTAATTTGCAGATAAGGACCAATATCTTCAGATTAATATCCCATATTTTCGTCTTTTTGTGTGCTCTGATTTTTCTAAAACAATTCCAACTTACTATATCACTAATGTAAGCTTTGAAATTTATTAAAAAAAACCCATTATGTTGTGTTGGTGAAACATATCTAATACCATTTACAGATTGGACATTGTCACTCGGACGATCATCATCATTGCTGTGATACTGAAGCTTGTGTTGGTAAACACTTTCCACTTTTAGTTACATTTTCAACTTTTTTCAAATGAAAATAGAGCCAAGGTCATTTTATGTTTTTTATTGCAGCTTCCTTTTTTAGGGAATTGCACATTACCAACACCACAACCCATCAAATAACTTATACAGGTGATGTCTTTGTCTCAAAATTTTTTTTTAAATGCATATGCATAAAAACTTGAATACTTAAGTAAAAGCTGATAATTCCTCGATTACTTTACGCTACAATGTTCCTGGATTTCACATTTCCTCGCTGTTAATTATACAGATTCTATGGCACACTGCCCCACCTGCCACGGAGGTGACTGTGACTTTGTCAATCGAGACACATGTCACGTGTGTAAATTCGACTTACATCCGGGACATTTACCTCATGTTCATTGTTTGAATGGAAATGTATGTCAATTTTTTCCTGACTTGATTTTAAATATTTCAAGTACTTGGTACATGTTCGTAGATATACACATGAAATTTTTCAAAACACAGATGATGGCGAGATGAAAAGCGTGAAATCTAAAGTAAACACTCAGTTAGTGAATTATAACAATAACTTAGATTCTATACATTTCAGATTCAGAATTGTTAACACACTCTTTATATGTCTATGCTACATGATATGTGTTGTAGGAACATTGTACTGGTAACCACAACACCCTCTGCTGCAGTGACGAGTCCTGCATAGGTATTTCTCCCTTACACTATTTAACATTTATTTACCGATTCTTGATCAAAATTATACTTTCATAATAACAATTCACAATCTAACTTAACTGTTTCGTCTTTTATTCCTTACAATCATTTCATGTATTTCTTTCTGTATACAAGAACAAGGTTAATTTTCCAATTGAAAGTATTTCAAATAGTTCAGCTATTGTCTGTGAATGGCACTCATATCCTTTTATTTCTGATGAGCTTTTGAATTCTAAAACCCACAGCTTTCATTTAGTTTTATGTTTCATCAAAGGACTTTTCAACCAAGCGTATTCATTATAAGTATTCATTATATTTGTAGCACATGCATTTGGATCATTCTATCCCGATGCTTCATCTAGACATCCTACTACAAGCAAAGAAATCCACGTTACTGGTACAGTGCTGTTACCGATATGATGCTTGAAATATCTTGTATTCACAAATCCTTGGTTTAGTTATTCATTACTTTGTATTTGACAGCCATTATATCAGATTTACTGATGTTGCAGATCCCAATGTTCACTGCCCCCATTGTCATGGAGGATTCTGTGACTTTGTGAATCGTGACACGTGTCACGTGTGTAAATTCGTCCTACATACCGGGAAGTTGCCACATGTAGATTGTCTGAAGGGAAATGTATGTACAACTAACTTTCAAATTCAATTTTCTATGAAATATCCAAACTGTTTATAAGATTTATTATAGGATTAAACGTTCTTTTTTCCCAGAATTTATCGATGTGTAAACTTATGCCTTTTTACTCACAAACTGAATTTATGTAAAGTTTGTGAGTAAAAAGACATGAGTTTACACATCGATAAATTCTGAAAAAGAACGTCAAGTTCTTATAATTCCAATTTCGAATTTTTAAAAATTATCAAAATTATTTCACTTTGAGGCCTCCATATAATCGTTATTGATTTACCGCGTATGAATACTTATGACGTAAAGAAACGTAATAGAGATAAATATCGATAAAATTTAACTTAAATTGTCAAAGCAATCAATAAATAAACTTATAAAAACTCATCTAATGTTCTTTAAGTCAACAAATATCGTAAATAAGAGTATACTCCAGAATAAATCGTCCTTGACCATGGCCATGTTGACATTAACGGCAACGCTTAGAGCGAAAGTTGCAGACCGAAGACGGCCTCGATTTGTCCTGGCATGTTCAGAGATTGAAGAAGAATGTAAACCTAGGATGTAAAAATATGAATTTGATGCTTATAAGGCAAGAGTCTGAGGTAAAAGTTAACGATACCAAATGAGCTGATTTGCTTCGTATTAGATATTTAAGTAAGTAAGTAAGTAAGTAAATTTTATTTAAAGTCGGCATTTTATACATTGTATAACAAGAAACATGAGCTCTGCAGAGCTCTTAAACCGACTATCACAGTTAAAATATCACAGGAAAACATTTACAACATAAATTAAAATGCAAAAACTCATATACATATATATACACATACATATGGCAGATAAAACAATTTTTTAAGAATTAAACAAATTTTAAGAATTAATCATTTTCAAGAATTAATTAGAGAAAAAAACCAAACTTGAAAAGCAATATGATTGCATTAAGAGGAACAAAAATAAAAATAAAGTAAATATTATAAAATAAAAAATGAATTTAAAAAAGTCATATGACAGTAATTTAAATTAAACATTAGATCGAACGTCGAGTTATTTTAAAATTCACACTCGTGATGCGACAGTGACATAAACATAATATTATAGTCGTTCGGTTTTGATTTAAACATATTTTATTGAAACATAATCAATGGGATTGGACGCAAGTTATGCCAACTTAGAATATCCTCTCCAACAGAAACAAAAAAAACAAATTTATATACACGTGATGAACAACAAACAAATCTACAATGCAAAAAAGAAGAAAAGGGTGCAGAGAGATAAGAATGGAAGAGAAAGGGAGTGCAAGGAGAGATGAAAGAAGGAAGGGGATGTAAAGGATACCTAATGATTACGCTGGTTGTTCAAAAAATCTTTTCGAATTTTTAATATACTTATGTACGTCTTTTGGTCCTATTTGTCGACAGTTTTGTTTTATTTAATTCAAAGTTTCTTGTAATCAAAACTTAGCTAAAACAGACTAGAAGTAACTACAGTGTTTTCATTGTTTTTACAATAGTCTAGAAGCTTGGTCAAGAAAGTAGTTCTGATTGCAAAATTTATCGAAGTGTAGGTTGCTGTCGTCCAATCAAAACACAGGGAATCAATAAATAAAGTTAAGATTAGAATTATAAATGAGGGAACTTTTGTTTGTTAAGAAAGATAAAAGGTGGTCACCAAAGAAAGTTACTTATATGTGTTATTCCATTATAGTCAATTCTGCAAGTACAAGAATTACAAAAGTAAATAAAAACTTAAATAATTTCGCTATTCCTAAAATTATCAAATTCAAATTTCATTTTATATCTGAGGTAAGCAATGATCCATGAATTTATCATTTTTATTTTGTTGTGGATTTGTAAATAAAATGATTAAGGTAATTTAATTTTTTACCTTTGATAAAATGTTAGCAGAATTTTACACAATATTTTAAATGTGTTACAGGAACATTGCCATGAAAACCATGAAACTCTTTGTTGCAAAGAAGAATCTTGTATAGGTAAATGATTTTAAATTGTTCGTTTCCGTGGGTACAGCAAAGATTATCTTGCTTTAAGGTCCTTTTGGTGAATAACAATGCGTTTACTCTAAAGGTGCACGTGTATTAGAGATGTTAACATGTATTATAATTGATAAATAAACTCAGAGAGAGAGAGAGAGAGAGCGCTTCCTGTTCTGTGTGGAATGTTTGTTCTTTTTTATTTCATTTCAGCCAATGCTTTTGGGGGATATTATCCAAGGACTCCATCGACTTACCCTACCACAGATCCGAACAGAACAACCTCCACACACCATGTTATGAACCAGCAGAGTATAGTATTATTACTTATTACAAGTCATCATATGACAACTTTATGTTTAGTCAACTCACTAGTTATTAACCAGCGTAGTAAAGTACATGTATTATCATAGACTTCTTATACGTCATCATATGACAACTGTATATTTATGTTTAGTCCATCCACTTATTATTAACCAATGTAGTATAGTATTATCATTGACTTCCCGTAAGGAAAGTCTTATACATGTACGACAATTCTAATTTTGAGTAAAGTGCTTCAACCATGTAAAGAGGATTTTCATTGACTTCTTTTAGTGTCAGCCCTTGTAACAATTCTTTTGTCTCAGCGCTTTTACTTAAAGCCCGAGATAATAAGCACCACCCTCAGATTTACCTGGTCTGTATCCCCCTGTCAATCAAATAAATAAAGGGCCATCATTGGGTACTTGAAATTGATTGACATTTAGCTACTAGTCCCTGTGTATCTCTCTTCACCTTGTTTGACACGCGTGGCCACCATCAAATTAAATTTCGGTCGTCTGATGTTTACCGCTAAATCACTATCGTAATGAGGAAACCATTTCGATACAAACAATCTTAACTTGATTATAATTGAGTATGATTATCTTTATTACAAACATTTCAATATAAAATGAAAATGATCTCATAATAGTGTTTCAATAGAGCAAATCAAGATTGTGTATATTTTTTTTAATGAAAAGTGTATAGGCGACTGTTTTCAGTCGTAAAAAGATTCTTGTTTTGAGACGCGGCGAAAACATTACGGAGCATAAAGGAGAAAATAAGCTGGTAACATTTTTTGCATTATTGGATAGTAATGTTGAAAACAAAATGTCTGATTAGTAACAACTTCGCGTGGACAAGTATTAAATATATTAAGAATTTCTTTCTTTTCTCTTCCTTTTTTATAACCGAGCATTTCTTGCTACGTGGGTTGTTACCTCCGTTCAAGGTCACAGGTGTTAAAAATAGTTTCGAAAGAAATACGCAAGTTAGCAATAAATTAATATGTTGTTTTCAGTTGTTTAATTATTATCTTAATTTACTAAAAATACATACATATTTGTATGTAATTCTAACTTTACGAAACCATCATTATCGTGAATTTTTCACAATAAGATACAGAATGTACATCTGCTAAAAATAGGACCACGCGACTTTTTATACAAACGGGAAGTAACTGTTACTATTTGAGGTGATCGAAGCTCTAATTGCTAAATATGAAAAGTTTTTAAGATTTTGAAAGCGACAGGCAAGGATGAGTATTTTACTTTTGAATTTTTACCTGTGTTTCATTATTTTTTTTTTAACAACGAACTCAAGCCATTGCTACTGTGACATACAATGTACTAAGGTACCTACCGTAGATTTTTTAACAAAAGTCGACCGGTGAGATTTCTGCTTTATGATATTAGATATAAGTCTGAAATTAAGGAATTTATACTAGTAATTATCCTCAATTATTACTTATGATATTTTTTATTTACGGTGTCGAGATTTATTAATTTAATTAATGATGAACATAGGGCCAACAAGCTGTACAGGTAATACTCATGGACTTCCTGTGTATACTGTTTGTGTATAGAGATTAGCGCTTCCTACGGTCTGCACAACCGTCAGTGCCTCGGGGTGCCACGCATGTAAAATTTAGTCCCTCTCCTTACCTGAGAAAACCGTACGGTTAAAAATCTCGGCCTTTAAATTACATTGTACAAGAAGCTCTAATAACATATATATATATTTCAGTATATAAATGAAACTAACACAGATAAATTTGCAATACTAGACTCTGACAAGATTGAACTCTTAAATAAGTATTTTACATCTATCACTTTTTTAGAAGACAGTGACCATGAACTTCCAAATATAGAAATTAGATGTAATGATAGATTTCCAGAAATACAAATTCAAGAATATGAGATTACAGACATAATCTCAGTAATTCCTATCAATAAAGCAGTGGGTCCAGACTGCATCAGTCACAAAATGTTAAAGTCTTGTAAAAATACTATATCAAAACCACTGTGTATTTTATTTAATAAATCATTAATACTAAAACATTCCCTGAATGTTGGAAATTGGCATATGTTCTTCCACTATTTAAGAAGGATGACCCCTCTATAACTTCAAATTATAGACCTGTCTCTTTGTTGAGTTGTGTAAGTAAAATATTTGAAAGAATTATTTTCAAACATGTGTACAATTACCTACATTCAAAAAATCTTTTTTATAAATATCAGTCAGGTTTTTTACCCGGGCACTCTACTGTATATCAACTTCTAGAAATATATCATTCTATTGTGAAAAGTATTGATGAAGGTAAATTCTGCTGTATGGTGTTCTGTGATTTATCCAAAGCTTTTGATAGAGTATGGCATAAAGGCTTAATTCATAAACTTCAAATGTACGGAATTAATGGTAAAATGCTAAAATGGTTTGAAAGTTATTTAAGCAATAGAACACAACAAGTCAAGTACAGAAATCTGCTCTCTTCCATTGGTTATGTAAAAGCTGGAGTCCCTCAGGGATCTGTACTTGGACCACTCTTATTTTTGATGTATGTAAATGATGTTGCTCAAAATATGATATCTGTTTGTAGATTATATGCTGATGATAATTCTTTACAACAATGTTCAGATAATATTAATCATATTGAACAAAATCTTAATCAAGATCTTAAAGTATTACATGAGTGGTCGAAAAAATGGCTGTTGAAATTCAACCCACAGAAAACAAAAGCTGTATTTTTTTCATTTGAAAGCTGTGCAACAATTTCCAAATCTAATTTTTGATAACTGTCAAATAGAATATGTCACACAACATACACATCTTGGGATACTTCTGTCTTCAAATATGGGATGGTCTGATCATATTGATATCATTGTAAAGAAGGCTTACAAAAAACTTGGTTTACTGAAAAAACTAAAATTTAATGTGTCAAGGGATATTTTGTCCCAGATGTATATTTCTTTTATCAGACCACAACTGGAATATGCAGTTGAAGTTTGGTCGGGGTGTACAAAGGCAGACATAGAAAAGCTTGAGAAAGTCCAACTATTTGCTGCTAGAATTGTAACAGGTCTTACACTTATTGCTTCTAAAAATTCACTTTATCTGGAAACTGGATGGGAACCATTGGAAAATAGAAGAAATCGAACAAATCTAGTAACAATGTATAAAATACACAATAATTTAGTACCTACTTATATTCAAAATATAGTACCTGATATTAGAGGCAACATTTCACAATACTCTACTAGAAATTCCTCCAATTATTCCTTGCCAAAATTCAGATTAGAATTATTCAATAAATCCTTTATTCCAGATACTGTTAGAAAGTGGAATGCAATTAAAATTAACATAAGGGAGGCAACTTCTATGAAAAGTTTTAAAAAATGCTTGTCAAGCAATATTGTAAAACCTCCAAAGTATTTTTCTTTTGGTAAGAGATTTTGGAATATTATTCACACAAGGTTAAGACATAATTGTATTTTAAATTCTGACCTATTTCGCTGTAATTTAATTGACAGTCCGAATTGCTCATGTGGACAAATAGAGGATTCCTATCATTTGTTTTTTGTTTGTAGAAAATATGCAACAGCAAGATATTCTCTAATGAATAAGTTATTATCATTCAACAATTTGTACATTATAGATGTCCATTTGATGTTATGGGGCGTTGATTCATTCTCTGATCAACAAAATGTAGAAATTTTTAAAGTTATTCATACCTTTTTAAAAGAGTGTGGCCGATTCTCTGAAAAATCTTAATTTTTTGTATATATAGTATTGTGTTTTGGTATCAAGAGTTTACTGTCTTTGACACTACTAATTGTTACAGAAAATAATTGTTCTTTATTTTGGCAATATTATAAAAAATTTGTATGAGGAGAAGACTATCTAAGTTGTCAGAACTTGTGTCTTATCCTTTTGGCTTTAATTGTCAATGAAATATGTTCAATTCATATATATATATATATATATATATATATATATATATATATATATATATATATATATATATATATATATATATATATATATATATATATATATATATATATATATATAGAAAGCACAGAGAAATTCACTCTTACAAGGATACTCGCTTCCGCCCCAGCCCGGGGTTGAACTCTCGACCTACGGAATCTGTCTCCTAGCATTGCAGGAACAGCGCGTTAGACCGCTCGGCTATCTAGGCAAGTTAAAAACTTGCTTTCGATGCCGATGGAATTCTCACAACGCTGTCCTACACTACACGGTCATTGAGAATGGAAGTGAGATACAGTTATTTGGACATTAGTTTTTAGAGGATTGTTACCAATACATGTTGTGATGAAATTAATTTTATTTATAAAGCACAAATTACAACAACTCTTAAACTAATATAACTGCCCTAAGTGAAGAAATATTAATATAGAAAGCACAGAGAAATTCACTCTTACAAGGATACTCGCTTCCGCCCCAGCCCGGGGTTGAACTCTCGACCTACGGAATCTGTCTCCTAGCATTGCAGGAACAGCGCGTTAGACCGCTCGGCTATCTAGGCAAGTTAAAAACTTGCTTTCGATGCCGATGGAATTCTCACAACGCTGTCCTACACTACACGGTCATTGAGAATGGAAGTGAGATACAGTTATTTGGACATTAGTTTTTAGAGGATTGTTACCAATACATGTTGTGATGAAATTAATTTTATTTATAAAGCACAAATTACAACAACTCTTAAACTAATATAACTGCCCTAAGTGAAGAAATATTAATATAGAAAGCACAGAGAAATTCACTCTTACAAGGATACTCGCTTCCGCCCCAGCCCGGGGTTGAACTCTCGACCTACGGAATCTGTCTCCTAGCATTGCAGGAACAGCGCGTTAGACCGCTCGGCTATCTAGGCAAGTTAAAAACTTGCTTTCGATGCCGATGGAATTCTCACAACGCTGTCCTACACTACACGGTCATTGAGAATGGAAGTGAGATACAGTTATTTGGACATTAGTTTTTAGAGGATTGTTACCAATACATGTTGTGATGAAATTAATTTTATTTATAAAGCACAAATTACAACAACTCTTAAACTAATATAACTGCCCTAAGTGAAGAAATATTAATATAGAAAGCACAGAGAAATTCACTCTTACAAGGATACTCGCTTCCGCCCCAGCCCGGGGTTGAACTCTCGACCTACGGAATCTGTCTCCTAGCATTGCAGGAACAGCGCGTTAGACCGCTCGGCTATCTAGGCAAGTTAAAAACTTGCTTTCGATGCCGATGGAATTCTCACAACGCTGTCCTACACTACACGGTCATTGAGAATGGAAGTGAGATACAGTTATTTGGACATTAGTTTTTAGAGGATTGTTACCAATACATGTTGTGATGAAATTAATTTTATTTATAAAGCACAAATTACAACAACTCTTAAACTAATATAACTGCCCTAAGTGAAGAAATATTAATATAGAAAGCACAGAGAAATTCACTCTTACAAGGATACTCGCTTCCGCCCCAGCCCGGGGTTGAACTCTCGACCTACGGAATCTGTCTCCTAGCATTGCAGGAACAGCGCGTTAGACCGCTCGGCTATCTAGGCAAGTTAAAAACTTGCTTTCGATGCCGATGGAATTCTCACAACGCTGTCCTACACTACACGGTCATTGAGAATGGAAGTGAGATACAGTTATTTGGACATTAGTTTTTAGAGGATTGTTACCAATACATGTTGTGATGAAATTAATTTTATTTATAAAGCACAAATTACAACAACTCTTAAACTAATATAACTGCCCTAAGTGAAGAAATATTAATATAGAAAGCACAGAGAAATTCACTCTTACAAGGATACTCGCTTCCGCCCCAGCCCGGGGTTGAACATTATATATTATAACGTTATATATATATATTATTCTGTATTTGATGTTTCACCCCAATGAAGTGAGTATTCAACTTAATTTTAAATTTCAGGAACGTATGTATCCTGTCCAATATGCATTCACGGCGTCTGTGATCCTTCCAGAAGTCACTCCTCTTGTACAGGATGTGTTTATCATGAGGATCATAAAACCACAACGTGTATAAAGGTTCACACTGAAAACTTATCAATCAAACGCTGTAAAGTTTTTATTGCATTGATACATTTGAAGAAATTCGTCAAATACAACACATTATTATATAGTCTATTTATATTCCCTATATAATCTATACAAGCGCAAACAGTTCATAATAATACATATTCACTGGATTTGAGGCTGTATTCACCGGAGGGTCATTGCGCGTTCAGCGGCATAGTGACATCAGAATCAACACCTCAAACAACGTTATAATTACTGATTGATTGATTGTATATTGTTTAACGTCCCTCTCGAGAATTTTTCACTCATATGGAGACGTCACCGTATGCCGGTGAAGGGCTTCAAATTTACTCCTATACTAGGCACTCAGGGCCATTGAGCAGTGAGGGTTCTTTATCGTGCCAGCGCCCACCGTGACACGGGACCTACGTTTGTAAGGGCATAACCGAAAGACCCGTGAATTTCACTTCTGATGCCGAGCGCTTGGCGAAGGAACAGTCACTACCTATTTTTACGTCTTTGGTTTGACGCGGCGCCGCGAACGATAATCGAACCCGGGCCTCCCGATCACGAAGCGAATGCTCTACCACTAGGCTACCGTGAACGGTCAAACAACGTTAAAAACAATAGTTATATTTTCCACCCTCACACAAAGTCAAAGCAGAAGTGCTTTTTTTAAAAAGTCTATTTTTTGATAGTACTATATATATTTTTAACAGCTCGGGCATGAACAAGAATGTAAAGACACGGATAAACAGATTTGCTGCCTCACTGACGAGTGTATAAGTAAGTACTAGATAACACAACAAAAGTAACTTAGATATAAAGAATAAAACCCCGTCTTTTCCCAACTAAATAAGCCAGATGTTCAAGAGATTTATTGATTTATATAGACCTTAGAGAAAGCATATCGACCTCGCACTTCGTGCTCGGTCGATATATTTTCTCTAAGGTCTATATATCGAGGGATTGACCTCATCAAAAGGCTATAATTGTATATTATATAAAATTTTTCTTCTAACAAAAACTAAATAATATCCGTGAAAAATTAATTATCTGTCTTGAATAAAGATTTCAGCGTCTAATTAATAAATTGAATTTCCTTGAAGCAAAATGGTTTGGAGTTGTGGTGAATACTATCGACCAAGGAAGCAGTTCACTACGTAAGTTTCCATTGAATAAAGCTTCAAAACAATGTGCCTTCGTAGACTTGATATGCTTTTGAGATTTAAAAAAAAATAAAAACACATTTGTTTTTGTCTGTTTTTTAAAAGAAAATTTCAAGAACAAAGTAATTTAAAGATACAAATATATATTTAAAAGAAAGTCAAAATTTCAAAAAGGAAAAAAATCCTTTATCGTTATATTTTTTTCTTAGAGATTATTCTCATCACATATTATGTTCTCTAATTTTATCAGATGATATTTTAGGATTTTTTTTTCTTAGAAAACCTTATTTTCTGTCCAAGTTGTGATCACAATGGTAAATGCCACTACTCGCTTTGTGATA